ATGTTCCAGGACTGCATGTTCCACTAAAAGCAACGGATAATACAGTGGCTAGTATTATAAGCGTTGGAAAGAGTGATGTGTTCATTGTGCGAACAACCGTGTGAGCATGCGTAGTAGTTTAAATGTCTGTTTTGTTTCGAACGGTATATCATGGCAAACCTCTCTCGGAAAGCGGGGTTTTTCATAGATAGATGTCGCCCGATGTCTAGTTTACGAAAGTGAAAACCGCAAGTCTCTAGCCCTTTCGGTGGAACATTACTAAAAAAACATGAGAAAACACTATATTTTGAGACAGATAGTCAGTCGCGTTTAATAAGATACTGCGAGGGGCGACAATGTACGATTATTATGACGGCTGTTTTCCTGATAGACAAGGAAGAAAAAGCTGCTGTGTTAGAAACCAGGATGATCCGTATTGCTCTCGACCCTTTTCAGGTGGATATCCCAAATTCTTTTTATGACTTTTTGGTTCAGACACACCATGGCGAAGGATTTAAGTATCAGTTTGATTTATCAAAGCTACGGCTAATAACTTTAACAATGAGGAAGAGGAATAAAAAAATAACGTTGTTTGAAGTTAACTGCCCATGCAGGTAACGGTTATGGATAGCGGTTGCCAGTAGCAGGTGGCTTTAGCAGCGGTCAAAACCCAGTTGCCAAGAGAAAAAATGTAGACAAGATTAAAAATGACTGTGACTACTTTTAAAAACGTTACTTTGATTTTCCTTTTTCGAAGAAACATGTCGTGAACATCATGCGTGAAATTCTGTGCTGTACATGAATCCGGAGTTTTTTTGCGGGGATGTTTTTAAGATATCTTCAATTCTAGAAGATCCGAAAACCGTCTGAGTTACAGTGAAAGACCATCGGCTGCATTTTTTTAGCCAATGAAAGTACAACTTTTTGACGAATACCAACTTCTTTCCAAATTTCGACGGCTGCTATTTTTGGGAGTTATTGACAGGTAACTTGTAACAACGAAAAAAGAAAGATGTCAATCACTACACGCTAGGTATGATCTTTCTCGCTAGTCAATAAATGCACTTAATGATTTTTCGTATGATGTTTTTTGCCAGTTTTCAGCGATTTTATGAATGTTCAGAAATGAACAATAAATAAGATGCGTTATTGTTCAGAGACTGTGTGTCTCTCATAAAGAAGTTTCGTTTAGATATCCTGCATCTTAATGAGGAAAAGCTTTCAAGAGTCAAAGATTAACTTAAAAAGTTTAAAGATGAAAACTAAACCCAGGTCAAAGAATCTTGCTGTAAGATCTTATAAGATTCTTGTACGATTCAGTCTCATTTCGTAATATTCATATAAGAATTTGTAAGATTCTGTAAGAAACATAGAAACTGATTCTTGATGTAAGATCTTATAGTAAGATTTCATCAGATTACGTAAGATTCTTGTATGATTGTTATAAGATGAATCCGTTTCTATGATTTTCCGTAAGGTTTTATAAGGTCTTGTAAGATCGTGTAAGACCTTGATCTGATTTTTTGACCTGGAAAGAGTTGTAGGAAAATGCTTATGATTTCGTAATGTAAAGTCACACAGTAGAATGAGTGTAAATCAAGCTTATCTTGTCCTATATGTCTTGTGTACTCTTTAGAATAATGAACAGAAAATGAAAATGAGTTACGTTGGAGCTGCTAACTTTGAACTAGAAGAAGACATAAATATTGCTGCAATCACGCGAGTAATCAGCGAGTCGCTAAAAAAACTCAGAAGAAAAATCACGATTAATTGTCAGAGCAATTGCGATTCTAATGAGATTACGTTTACAAGATGTTTTCTCCCTGTAGTTTCGAAATAAAGCAATATTAATAAGAGTTTTTCCGACTAATCAAAAACTAAACTAAAAAATTTACAACTGAGTTAGGAAATGTCGTGTTTTCACATTCACAATGGAGGAAAAAACTAATCCGCTGGTTTTGATATTTTAAGCCGAGTACACTATTTTACTGTCCGCGAATTTACTATACGTTGATTAATTTCTATCTTAATTAGTTTTTCTTCATAGGAAAGTATAATTTTGCTACAGAGGATTTACTTTCCGTTGATTACATAAAAATATATCCCAATTAGCCACTTTCTTATATAGGGATTTGCTTTCAACTGATGATTTGGACGAAAAGCTATGAATGAGCAAATGAATATTCATTGCGACAACCCATATATTGTTAGAAAAAAATTACTATAGTTTTTACGTTTGAGAGAATATCGATAACCCAGGTAACATAGTTGCCTTTTGCCATGTTAGATTCAACAAATTCAGCAGACATTATTAAAGACAGTGTGAGAAGAGAGTTGTGTATCTCTACCTTTATATATATATTTTTACAAAGTTATCGAACAGTGGAAAGTAAATCCCTATACAAGAAAATGGCTAATTGGAATATATTTTTATGTAATCAACGAAAATTACAACAGTTTTCTTTTACAACCGCGTTTTCGTTATAGAAAAGTTCGAGCGTTGGAAACTGGAACTGGTCTTTACTACGCGTGCAGTCATCGAGACTGTCTGTCTTTCTGTAACTTTTCAGGACTGCGCGCGTAGTTAAGACCAGTTCAAGTTTCCAAGACTTGCGCTTTTCTGTAACGAAAAAGCGGTTATAAAAGAAAATTTATTTAATTTACTATTGTTGGTTGTTACTCTGGTGTCTTTAAATCACTGAATCCATGGGGACAAGGACTATTTTGGGCTTTAGGTTTTGTGGATTTTAATAAAATTACGTCACCTTGCCCGGGGCTTAAATATACTTTCGAAGTATATCATAGTCCAATAGGTTTTTACAAGTATGTTAAAGTCCATCTAAATTCACACAAGTCTTTAAAAGACCATGCAAGTCCACGCAAAGTCCTGGACTTTTATGACCTTATGCGAACCTTGATGGATTTATGTCTATAATTGGGGACAACTTCCTTGCATAGTGCGTTTTATATCTTGTCTTCATTCTAAAAATATTACTTTTTTATTCTAGACCAGAATTATGTTTCATAAACAAGTGTCAGAATGTCTAGCTGACATTTGTCATTTATTTCAATCATGTGCAAATGGTTACGCACTACATCGTACAGACGATGGACATTTTGTTCAGTTGAAATTTGGAGTAGATCTCATTCGGGCTTACGCATCTACAAAGTCGGAGAAGTCTAAATCTGCATTATTAAATTTATTCGTTCAACATTTAGTACGATTTGAAGAGAAAGTTGGTACAAAGATGAAATCATTCATTTATCTCATGCACGATTTATTTGATGAATTAGAAAAACATGATTACAGTGATAGACGTCATTTACTTTCGAAATTGCATGATCAGATGTTGACTATCCATTATCCATCATGTACAGGAGATGACAAATCGGTTTATGAAAATTTGATTTCACATATACTAAGTTCATTACCAAATTTTGATCGAAAAGATTATTACAAAAAATTAATACTTAATCTTATCCGAAGTAAGTTGAATTTCATCGATTTAATTGTTCAAGTCAAATTTTATATTTTTACTTTCAATATCTTTATTTTACTGACCATTCATTGTGTTGGATAAAAATAGTGTGACATCTTTTTTTCTTACACTCTATAAGTGATAAATTTTTTTCAATTAGAAAGTGAATTTCATCTCGATAATTACATTCGCTATATTCATCAACTATCACACGTAACTGTTGGCTTACCAATTACCAAATCTCATTTTATGGATGGAATATTAATTCCTGTTCAAACCCAAACAAAATTAAAGTCACTTTCGTCAGACAATTCCCAAGTGAACATTCTCTTCTTAAATCTTAAATCGGATCATCAGTCTCAGTTTTATTTTTCAAACGAGTCATCATCGTTTTATTCATATGATACAGAACTCTATCGTCGATTTACTCAATATATCAAATCAAAGTATGCCATAAATCTTATTTTATCTTCAGCATTTATCAATGAAACGTTTATGCATGAATTATACTCTCAACAAGTCAATGTTATTGATTCAATTGATAATGAAACATTCGATTTTTTACTTGATGTTTATCAGTGTGTGCCAATCAGGTAAACATTTTTGCATAAAAAATGTGAAGAGAAATTTATAGTTTTGTTCCTTCAAGTCGATCGTACATTTGTACTATTACGTATAACGTTTTCTTTTAGTGATCTGAATGATGTAATCGACGGTGAAGTTCGAAGCGTGACATTAATTCAACGAAATTTGACAATTAATCAACAATGTTATATTCATCTATCATGCGACTCGAAATATCAAACATTAATCTCTTGTGTACAAACACCCACAATGGTTTTGACGACGCAAAAAGCATTCCTAAATCTGCTCAGATTACTTCGTTTTGTCGGAAACAGTGATAACAGAACGGTGTGTCAAGAACAAGACTACTATAGATATTTAATTGAACATTTAAACTGTAATGAATCTGTGTTGAGACGTGTACTAACAAGGAGATTAATTCAAATACAGAAAACGAAGGAGGATGAATTGTTACCATCCATAGTATATGGACAGATGATTTTGAGTGGAATCGAATTTTTGCAGTATCTATGTAGAATAGATGGGATTTACTCTGTTAAAAATAAGTGCTCAGAAAATATATATCATAAAGTAAATGACATAATGTCTGCAAATGATTAGACTCAGAATAAAATTCTCAAGGAAAGTACACGTCAATCGATAGATAAGTGAAATTACAGTATAACTCTGAGTTTTCAAGCAAGAAGTATATTTATTATATTTTCTCACGTGAAGTTCGAATACAATTTCAATTAAACCTCAGAAATGGTTTTCTGTCATAGTTTTGTTAACGTTTGGTACTGCAAATAGAATCGGTGTCAAATTATACGCTTTAATAGTACCCATTTTTTGTTTCCCCCAGTCGTATCCCTAACTTATGAAAAATTATTTTGCTACGAGACCATCTGCTCCTTGAAAACAGTTCACGGGCTAGCCTGACCTATATTGCTTATCTCATACATTTAAAACAGAGATATCGTTAGTGTATAGTACAACTGCGGACACACAGCGTTTTGAGATTTGCACGATAAAGGATTGAGAAACTCACACAGTGTTTCCTGATCCGATCAGCATGTACTAGAGATCTGTACAGCGATGGGATACTGTCCGTGGGCGCAGGTATAGACCTGTGCGCCGCTGATGGATAATTTAGATTTCGGCGCCGCCACCGAAGCTTTTTTTCGACGCTACAGAAACAGTGCAGTTTTTATTTCTCTTATTATTTTGATTGAAAATAAAATAAAAAATTTAATGAGATCAGCAATGGATCTTGGCTTAAACTAAGTTCGTATTCAAATTTGGTTGTGCTCCGCTGACGATCCAAAGTTTTAAATAATTTTTTAGCCTCCGCCGATTGAACATTTCTTTTGGTCGCCGCAGCCGAAGGCGGAAAATCTTTTAACTTTTTTTAAGCTAGTTGCTATTGAATATGATGGTAGACCAAACATTTTTCTACACGCTCATGTAAAATCTTTTCAAAAACTTCGGCCAATTTTGAGCCAGATCCAAAATGCGAAGAGCTCCATCAAAGTGCCTCTAATTACCCCGTACGGGGTAATTAGAGGCACTTCACTTATACACTTCGGGTAATTAGAGGCACTTCACTTATACACTTCGGGTAATTAGAGGCACTTCACTTATACACTTCGGGTAAATAGAGGCACTCCATTCAAATACATGGAGTTTTAATGTACAATCGCTGGTGAATTAAACTTAGGAGATAATTAGTTCAAAAATACGTGATTTTGTAGCCCAGATCTTCCTCTATCTACCATACAGTTTTGAGCTCACTATCATTTAAACTCATTAAGCTAATTAGCATATAATCAACAGTACTAGAGTTTATATCTTTTTTCTTTTTATGCTTTGGGGTAAATAGAGGCAGTCGTATAATTTCTTCGGGGTCAATAGAGGCACTCCACTGAAATACACGGAATGGTCAGATACAAACCTTTACCGACTCTCAGAAGCCGAATTTAGTATTAGACCAAGTGACAAAGTTCTTCAGACTGCTGAACTCTATCACATATGTGAAAATTAGCTAATTATTCCAGTGGATAAGCTATCATGCTGGTTTCACATTATGTACGATATTAATTTGAATATATTTTATGAGCTAAATTAATTTTAAAATTAATTATGACACCTAGAGACAAAAACCTTTGATAAAATCTTCTGTCTATAACGTACATACGCATCTCCTCTATCAAATGCAAAAACAATCATCTGAATTATGAGAACTACGCAAGATAACACCAAATTATCCGACATATGTCTGCTCTGAATGAAACATACAATATGATATCAACAGAAAATTTACTTGACAGGATAAAGTCGCGTACATTACGGATATTTTTAATGTCTGATAGTTGATATTTTAGGCTAAACGTGTTATTGATGTTTATAAAGCTTACTAATTAGTACAAATTAAAACGGTTATGAACATTGTTTTGGGTCAAACTGTGTTGCCATGCTGAGTAGCTGGCTACCTTTCTGTTTGACGGCATTATATCATATTGTATGTTTCATCGCAGTTGTTTCTTATAAGTCAGATATATACATAGACACGTGTTTGCGTGAGAAACTTTGTTATTATCGCAGATGTTGTTGTTTGATTAATAACTGCCAAACATCGTATGTAAAAGTCGGCTTTTTACTTTTGTTAAATAATTAGGTTTAAAACACTAGGTACGTTTCTCCAGAATACAACGGGTACACACACGAGATACAACAAATGCTTTCAAAAATCTTCTATGCCATATCACTTTCATTCTTCGCCTTTTTCTCTCATACCTTTCTTTTGGCTGCAATATCTTTGCATGTAAAGACGCTGTGTAAATATATCTTCCACATTTCTTATTGTTTTTAATCTACGACAGTAAAACAGATTCTTCAATCACCTTGTGAATGGACTGAGAAACAGTCTCTCGACTACCGACTATAAAACAGTCCTAGACAACCCTTTGGTAAGCATTGGATTGATTGCTCTCGATCTTTAACATGTGACGATCGCCAACACTGGCGATCATCACTTTGCACTCTCCGACATATTACACATTCAACAGCCGATGAACCGGATGCGTTACTAAGGGTTACTACCGATTTGAGAAGTTGTCTCACTAGCAATTCAACGGTAAACCGATTATAAGAGTTTAAAAAGGGAAGAAACATCGGTAGAAACTTGAGGCATTGTAGAATGGTAGCCGTTCTTTGTTTGAAAGAGCGCTGATCCTCTTCGGCGCATCTCATACGTAATCTCATACGTCTTCCAATCATCAATTAGTAGAAGAAAGTTATTCTCGCATTTACTTTAAACAAACAAGTTACGTTGAAAATACTTAAAAAAGTCATTCCCCTTAGAGGGAAAATACCCTTACACCCAACTCTTGGATCATCTGAAAATCCATAGTCGAGTTTCACCTTGGTTACAACAGACTTCTCTTCATTCATAGCAAAACATGGAACAAACGAAATCCAAACAGCCATTCACATCTTCCGCAACACACGAACCCAAACACCAATCTTCCAACAAACCTGCGAAGTTAGAGAGCATCACACTCATTTGGTTCGACAAAAACATCGGTGTCAAAGAAGACACAAAACAAACAGCGAGAAAGCTTCGTGACATCAATGACTACGTCGTTTACCACACTCACCAGCAGACATGCGTCGATTACATCACTTCCATCGACGATGAAAAGACCTTTCTCGTTACATCAGGTGCATGTGCAGTAGACATTCTACCACTGATTCACACTCGCAGACAACTCGATTCCACCTTCATCTTCTGCATAAAACCGCTCAAATACGAACACTTGCTCAACGAATATTCGAGAATCGTCGGACTCTTCACCGAACAAGATGCACTGATGACAGTGAAAACGTCGACTTGGTCAAGAAACAGATGGAAACATTTCGTTTCTACGACGAAAGTCAACGATCGATGCGAGATTTATTGAAAGAACAAGCCTCGTTCCTCTGGTTTCAGCTCTTCAAAGATCTCACTCTGCGAATGCCACACACAGACGACGCGAAACGACAAATGATCGACAAATGTCGCGAATACTACCGCGGAAACAAAAAAGAGCTGAACTTCATTACCAACTTCGATCAGAAATACACGTCAGATGATGCAGTTCTCTGGTACACAAAACAATGTTTCGTCTACAAGCTGGTCAACAAAGCACTGAGAACACAGGACATTGATCAATTGCATACCTTTCGCTTCTTCATCTCAGATCTCTGTTCGAATTTGGCTCATAAACACAACTAGTCACGTCATTCGTCACGGATGCGTTTATATCGTGGTGTGAAACTATCGAATGAAGAGCTCGAAGTGTGGAGAAGCAACGAAGGTCAATTAATGTCTATCAATGGATTTTTGACGAGCAAGAGATGTTATTCGATCTGGGTGCAGTCTTTGAGATCTGTTCGGTCAAGTATGATAAGAAGCTACATGTCTGGCTGATCAAGATAGTATATTGCAGTGAATCAGAAGGAGATGGAGGAGACAAGTGTGGTACTGATGTTTGGATCTTTGCTTGGTGACACGGGTGAATATGAGAAATCATTGCACTACTTTGAGAGTTTGTTAGTGGATCCAAAAGGCGAAGATGTAGCTCGAATCTTTGGTGAGATTGGTCGGGTACATTACCTCAAAGGCGTGTATGAGAAGGCAATGAAGAATTTTGAGGTGTCATATGAGACGATGATGAGTGCGCGTCCATCAGGTGTCAGAGAGACAGCACGAGTGCTGAGAGGTATGGGCCTTGTATTTAACGAAAGAGGGCAGTACAAGGAAGCTCTGAAACAGTATGAACGAGCTCTAGAGATTTATGAAGAGTATTATGGTTGTGAAGATAGAGGCACAGCACATACTCTCAATAATATTGGTAATGTGTACTCGAACATGGTTTAATATGATCGTGCACTCGACTATCATCGACGAGCTCTGAGAATACGTGAATCACTTCATCCAAATCATCCAGATACAGTTGCAAGTCTCAATAATATTGGCATTATTTATCGAAACAAGAAAGACTACAGGCTCGCTTTGGACTGTCATAGCGTTGTCACTGTATCGAAAAACATTGCCTGATGGACATTTAGATATTAAGACACTTGAAAGGAATATTGCACAAGTAAAGAGTCATCTGAAGAATGTGAAATAGTTGAGTAATAATCATGAATTAATCGATTATTGTACTAAACTTATAACTAAATATTTTTTCATTAAAGTCCTGTCGCGTTAGACTGGTTTTATGCGTGTCAGCCCAGTCCAGAAAAGATATCAAGGGTACGAGTACGATGGAGCACTCTTTTTGGAAAAAAAGAAAGGAGTACTCTTTTTCCCAAAAAGAGTGCTCCAAAAAAGGAGTAATCTCGATAACCCTTTTCTAAGAATACTCCAGAGTACCAGAGCTGGAATCGGTTGAGAAAAGATAAACCGGTCCGTTCCGGCCGGTCTGAAAGTGTAACCACACCAGTCCAGCCGATAAACGGGTTGGTTAGCATTATAACTCAAACCGGCGAAAACCTGGCGAAGTTTTTTGAAGATCCATTTTCAGAAAGAATTTCCCCCCCACAAATGAAGTAGTTTGCGAGCACATGTGAGAGAACCTTCACAATAACGAGTCTAAAATATTTAACCTTAAAATAAGTGATGGAAATAATATCTGTCTTGAGCATCGTCTTATTTATTCTGACTGAAAAAGACGTGAAATTTTATCTTTTTTGACGAAAAACAGGGTAAAAAGAGCAGATGTTTCAAAACAACCGGTGAAATACCGGTCTCTACCGGCCCGATTGACTTTTCCAACCGATCCTGTCCGGTATCGGTTTACCGGGCCGGTTCTAGCTCTGTGGAGTACTCAAAGTGCATGTTCTCAGAAGGAGTACTCCAAAAACTATACTTTTTTTGAAGTGCTCTGCAGTGCCTCGGCTGCACGTTATAAAAAGGAGTGCTCCGAAGCTCTCTTTTTTTGAGGAGTATTCTGGACTACTCCAAAAACAGAGTACTCTAGACTGCTCTTAGTGGCTTTTTTCAAAAAGAGTACACCTCCATACACCTACTTCTGACCATTTTTCCAATGGGCGGTGTTAGATCAGTACTAACCGTAGATGATTCACACTGAGTTTCGAGCAGTGTTGCGTCGAAAGCTGTGTGAGTTTGTCGTTATTGGTACGCGACTAAGAGTACCATCAGGATCGATGAGATCACATGTTGGTTCTTATCAGAGACATTCATATGTCTCCAACATCAAGTTGAATTCTACCATGTGTAAATTAACTGAAAAATGATTTCTGCTGTGTGTGTAGACACTTCTGTTCCAACAAACGATGATTTGGTTCAGCTTCTTGTCAGTAAAAATATTGCTGATTTAGTGAATCTTGTAGTAATTCATGACATTCTGCCCTTTTGGTAAGTCCAACATGTCCGTATCTAGAAACATTCTCGAATCTGGTCAACATTTGAGAGTGATCTTATTAAGTTCTTTTTAACATTTCGCCTTCATTTGTCGACGATCTTACACAAGTTTTGCTAAGGTTATGTGGTCTGCAGAGTTCAAGACTTTGCAAAGATCTGAGTAAAACCTATTCTGTATAGGTTATTTTGTATGGTAGTTTTCAAACTCGGGCGATAGTCTGTTAAGATCTTACCATGAGCTATTATGTTGTTAAATAAGACTCATTCATGATTCAAAAATCAAAAAAAAAAAAGAAGAGTTTGACATCTTTACTAAACACAGAAAAATTAAATTTCACTCTTTCACAGTTAGGTGTTTCATCCTCTTCACGTGTGCCCATACGGTAACACGAATTTTGCAGTTTTATGGACTCAAATTTTCCACGGATATTCGATCTCCGTAAGAATGAAACGACATTACCACTAAGGCAGGCATGGACGAGTCCGAGTCCTTAACATTAAGGACCGAGTCCTAAGAGTTTAACTGCTAAATGATCCCAAGTTTCAAAAAATCTTTTGTCATACATAAATGTGTAAAAACTTCATAAATTTGATATCCGTTTCTGCTGCTTGGCCTTTCTACGATAGATCTCTGGAAGTCGGGTGTCCAAAGACCCGTTGTGAACTGTCAGCTGAACACATCTTCGTACTACCAGATTGTAGAGCACGTTGAGTTACCAATATGGAAATATTCCCAGAACGAATGAACAAGTTTCCGCAGACATATAAAAATTAGAATACAAAAAACCTGAAATATTTGGGTTTCCTACTGAGTTAGAAAGTAAAAATTTTTTCTGTTTTAAACACTCCGGTTCAGTCAGGAAAAATAAAACCTTAATTTTTAGCATTAGCGCAAAATCGACTTTTTATACGGGGAACAGAATCGGTTCAAAGTTTTTTTGCTGAAGAGCTTATTATATGAATCGACGGTCAGCAAAGTATCTCTTGATGCAAATCGCTTTTCGCATTTTGGCGCGAATAGTAGCGCGTTTTACGTGGCGCCACCATTGGCGCCAAAATGCGAAAAGTGATTTGAATCAAGAGATGCTTTGCTGACCGTCGATTCATATAATAAGCTCTTCAGAAAAAAAATTTGAACCGATTCTGTTCTCCGTATAAAAAGTCGATTTTGCGCTAAAAGGATCAGAAGTCTTTTGTCAAAATAAGTATTATATCTGATTTCGAATTAAAACTGAGTTAAATAATGTATTACTCATTTAGATTTGTACACTTATTTTGATAGTAACCAGCGATAAGGCGATATATATATGCGACATCAATCCGATTTTTCTAGCTTGGTGATGGCCAATAAAAAAGTATAACCGAACACTTTACAATCAACTAAGTCTTTGAATGGGTATTCTATGGATATTGACGTGTTTCATTGATAATTGTCCCTGCACACACGTGAGCGAGTCTTTTAAATGAATGGCGTGTTTTACGATTTTTTAGTAAGTTTTTATCTTGAACTAGGACAGTTTTGTTGGAGTTACGAATGCTGGAACTGTGTATTTGCTTTTTCAAATTTCTTGTACTCGTATGCTTTAAAAAAGAGTGGTTATGGGCTGAAGGAGTACGTGTGTTGCTTGCGAAAAGTCAATTCGTTTCACGTCTGTCTTGTTACAAAGTCGAGAACCGAATTGCTTCACGGAGAGTAAGCACTAGGCATCCACGACCTGTAATTTAATGACCCCGATGAATCAATAATCAGATTAGTTTTACTGTGGTACTGCTACACTTTTAGTGTGACACTATCTAAACTGTAGTGATTTCCGTACAACGCGATGATCTTTTTAGCAGAATATAGCCTAGTTTTCTGAAGAAAGAGCCTAGAAAGTTCGAATCAAAACACTGAATGTCGTAGAACAGCCTGAGTAAACTGTTGATTTATTGTATCTGATGGGGCCCTGTCGTTACAATGTATCGCTGCTATACAAACGGTTCTAAAATGATATGAATATAGCGTAGCCTTCACAAGTTATGCATTAAGTTACAGTCACAATTTCTATGAGCAGTTTTCGGTATGACTTTCTCGCTTATCATTGAACATTTCACATTTATGTGTTTCTAACTCGTTTGTGTTTCCTTATTCTACTTTAGGCGATGATAGCGTTATCCTACCTTGGTTCAATTATTTAAACTGAACTTAATCATACTTAAAATATGTTTAAGTTAATTAGCTCAATCATAAGACAACCACAAAGCAACATTAAGCTTGACCTTAATTCCCATCATGATGAGTTTTTGTTTTTACATTCAAGTCTGCCTTCAAACTTTTTATGAAACTCATCTTAAGCGTATACTTAACTCAAACAAAAAACGTTAATGTCAAGTTTTAGATACGAAAAGTTTTAATCTTGTACATCTTTCGCCCGAATGCAGTGTGGCATGAATTTATTAGACATTGTCGAGTCGTTAAATGGTCTCAAAGAACGTCTAAATTGAATAATTCGTTTCATTTCGGTGCATATCGATCTCTCATCTAACAAGTCAACAAGAATATGTCAAATTTTTATTGCTAAAATGTTCTCGTGTGATATATATTCTGTGGATGTTATTTTTTCTTAAAAATTAATCTTTTCTTGTACATCTGGATACATATTTGCCATGCCGATGTAGTTACTTTTTTTTTCCAGTAGTCTCGTAGATTGATTTGAATACCATATTGTGCTGCTGTGGATATTACAACCTCCAATACGCATGTTTTCGACTAACATAACACAAAAATTAGGCCTGATAACAAACAGAAAATTTCAAGTAGAGATTATCCGTAAGAGTTATCAGTACTTGTGACTCACAATACTGTTCCTACAGGAAAAAGTTTAATCGTGTAATATTCTCGCTTGTAAAAAAAATCTAGGATTTTTGCTTTGAGACAAAAACTGCACTTTTCTGATCGAGATATTTTGTGTTGGTTAAACGAAAAACGAAAAGACATTTATTGAGAAATACATTTTCAGACTATTAGACAGAAGACGTCAGTTAACTGTTTTTTGAGCAGAGAAGCAAGAATTCGTGCAGGACATGATCGTGAATAAGCTATATTTGAATTTGACCAACGCTGAGATTATACATTGTACTTCTTCCTCTTCTGTTCAGTTTAGAAAAAAGAAGTTTGAAATGCAAATAAGTTTTGAGGAACGTAACCAGAAGATGATTTTTGTCGTGTTTCATTCGAATGATTGTACGGCCTTGTGCTTGATGCCCTTCAAAACAAATCCGATCCCATATTGTTAATAATCACTATTACAATGGCACAGCATAATATACTGTGTGCTATTGAGAAATAACGATGCGCACTCTTATCTAAAAAAGATCACTCAATAATTCGATCATGAATAGGCTTCTCTTCTGTGACACAACTGGCTAGTGATCTCCAATCTTCTATGTCATACAATAAAGTGAAAAAATATGAATGGCGTATGGCCGTGGTTAGATAAAAAAAAGACTTAAATAGAAATTAGATAACGGTAGCGCACAGCAATTGTTAGAAAATAAACGCAGGTTTAGTTTTTGTCTTGTAGTCATTCATTCATGTTGGATATACCGTGATTAGGATGTTTATGTTTTTATGCTGAGCAAGTTGTTTGTCATTAGAAAAATACTGTATGTATTTTAGATAAACTTCAATGGAGTAAATATTTTTTGAAGTTGATTCATAAAGCTACGTGATTCGTCTTAAAAACAAGTTTCGTGAAGAGTTTCTTTTAAGAATAATATGGTTGTTCTTATGCAATCACTTCATCAAACATTCTCAGTTGTGTCTTAACGCTTTTTGTCTATCTTTTATTCTTCACTTATTTGTATGTAATTCAATGTTCTTTAATACTGCTTTTTTTGATTGATTTTTATACTGAAACTTGTATATTTTTAGCCAAATTTGATTTCTCTATTTAAACTGTAGCGCTTGATAAAGCAAGTTTATGTCTGAAACTGTTCATTGCTATCGTAGACAACATAAACATCTGCTAAATTGTTGAAATCTTATTCTATTCTTTTTTATTCTTGGTTTTTCTCTTTATGTATATATTTCTCTCGAGTGTACGTGACGTTTTTTTTGGCATTCACAGTTTAACTTTTTGTGTTTGATATTCTACACTGATAAGCTAAAACTTTCTATTGATTTGTGTCTTATATCCATTGTTATTTTCATATTGATTACTGTTTCACAGATACAACATGCTTTTTTCGTTTTATCTTTCCACTACTAGATCTTTGCTTCTTGGCTCATTCTCTTCTAAAAAGAGAATTTCGCTAAATGACTTGCTTGGCTATCTCAGCAGAAGCTAGGATTGAAACAAAATAGATCTATGTAGATGAAACTAGCGCGTAATATTAAGATGGTTGTGTCAGCCCTGATCCTCTTTTCAATATATTTTTTTCAGATGCCTGATTGAAAACCATCAACGCGCTAAAACAAGAACCGTTCATCTATGTCAAACGTTATTTTATTATCTTTTTATAATGCTATCAACTGTTGTTACCCCCCCACGATTTTCTTCTTCTAATCATTATTCCCCTTCCATTACTCTTGATCCACATTATCGTTTATATTTATATTCGTTATTACAAGAATTAGCTGACGATCAATTGTTTGATATTGTCTGTCGATATTATACTCCACCTCCATTCCAAACAACAAATTACACTCAATTATTAGAACAATGTATGTTTATTATTGATCAATATTATTCGCAAGATCTCGAACAATTAATTCACCAAATGAGACAACGACGATTTATTCAACCAAACACTCAACAACCATCAACAAGAACAGCTTACCAAATGCCTCCAGGTCCACAAAGACAGTCAGTGCCATTTGTGCAGCAAAATAATAATAGATTTTATCCACCACAACAATATCAGCAGCAGTCTAATAATAGTCAAATGCCAATTCAACAACAACAATACAGATATTCGCAACCTCGTCCGCAACAACAACAACAACAACAACAACAAATTCTACGTAAGTACACAGTGCGTAATAAGTGCCGTTGTTATTTCTTATTGATCATTTTGAAGTGTGCACAATCATAGATGTGTTATTTAGCCTGAGAAACGCTTTGTAATTAGCACTAGTGTCACTTTTCGTGTTGAGTATTAAGTCTGTTAATCAAAAACTAAAGATATCACACGAAAATAATGTAGATAAATGTAGCAAACTTTCATTTCAGCTCGACCTCCACTATCACATCGCCAGCATCAAGGCCAAACACAACAGACCATACGTAAGTAGAAACATGTTTTTCAACTGTAAAAAGACTCAAAGCGTATAATCTCATATATAAATTATTTGACTCTTATTTAATTCTTTATCTAAGCTCGCCCGCCACCTCCTTCACATCAACAACAAATTGCAAGTCACCCTCGTCCAATCATACAACAGTCATCTCGTCCTATTTATACTCAACAACCTCAAGTTGTTAATCAAGTCATACAACAACCAGCTGCTCATCTAATCATTCAAACTCCTGTTACCATTCCACCAACAATACAGCAGCCACCTCGTATTCCAGCACCATTACCTTCATCCTCTTCTTCGTCAAACAACATTTCTGTTATTGTTGATGGTACTAGTGGTCATCCGTCGGTACCTCTTCCACCAATCGTTCACAAAATATTACCATTTTATACATTAATTCGTTCTATTTATGAAAATGGCCAATTTAAATTTGATCAAAATAAAAAGTTACATCTCTGTCATTTGAAATTTCGTCTGGATTTAGATTCATGTAATCAAATAGCCGAGTCTTATGATTACGATGAAGATTATGATCAAATTAAAGCGCGCTATTGCCTCATACTGAGATTGGCAAGAATCGATCAACAACCGACAAATTTACATTTGGGTATAATATAACGAGAGATCCTAACTATTTATTAACTTTCGTTTATGTTTAGGTTATGATGATAGTCTACCACCAAATCTCATCGTTCAGTTAAACTCTCAAAATGTTTCATTACCTGTTCCCAAACCATGTACTCGTCAAAATACAGACTTAATTCGTAATGGTCGTGAAATTGACATTACTGAACAAGCAATGTTATCACCATCACAACTTAATACATTGGCCATGCAATGGCAATTATCACAACAACTTGATCAGTATCAAACAGCCAAATATGCCGTACATATTTATCTAATGAAACGACAATATATTGTCGATTTAGTTCAAGAAGTAAAAGAGAAACGAGTAAAGCTAGAAAAATCTGATTTGAGACAAATTTATGCTCAATCAAATGGTGGCGACAGTGATTTATGTGTTAGTGATTATAAAATAATGTTAAAATGTCCAATTAATCAATGTCGATTAAAAATACCAGCAAGAGCAACGACCTGTCAACATTTACAATGTTTTGATCTATATAATTATATTGGTACGTAAACAGAATAGACAAATTCAATTGTGCCATCATTTATTTTATATTTATCTATTTTTAGCCATGAATGAAAAAAGTTCAAAATGGTTATGTCCCGTTTGTTCTCGTCCAGCACTCTATGATCAACTACGTCTCGATCATTATACTGAAACAATTTTATCTGCTACCAAAGATTCGACTACGGAAATAAAAATCGATTCCAATCTTGACTGGTCACCAATTTTAACTGTGGATCAAGAACATCAAGTATCATCGACTACGTCAGATAATGCGGAATCATGTATTTTATTAGATGAAGATGATGAAGAAGATTCAAAAGCATCGATCAAATTAAATTATATTCATTTACAGGAAAAACCTAACACTACAGAAAATGAAATTATATTGCTCGATGACTAAATCTGTGATAAACAATGCTCAAAAATCTATATGTATCAAACATTACAATGTTGATATTTATATCGTTTTTTTGTTGTTTGATATTGAAAAAAAAAGAAAAGAAAAGAAGATTAATTAGCCATATTGGGTATTTGATACTTCATTGTTTACAATTATTTTTCGAAAAATATTTTATATTAGTTTAGTTTTATTTCGTGTATTATCCTGAGCTCTTTTAACATTGCTCGACACACACCATTCTGAGGAAAAAAATAGATGACTATGTTGGTCCATGGTAAAATTGCGAATTAGTGTGCGACAAAAAAGTAATCTAGAAGCTTCCTTTGTTTTCTTTTCTCCAAAAATCTCTATGCATGAGTAGTCATCTCAATTTGATTGAGTGTTTACATTTTTAATTTAAAAAAGTAAGGGCCTGATTTTTTGAAAATCTCAATACTCTTTTTTTTACCGTTGGAAATTTCTTCGTTTTTTTTTTATCATGAAAAATTGATTCTACTTTCTTCTCTTCGAGTTCTCTTAGTCGAATTCATTGTATTGAATACGTCGAGTTAGCTACGTTTTCTCAATTATGTACAGATATTTTTTTTTTTGTGTTTCGTTCAGAAGTGTTTTTTTTTTTGATTCTCTAAGAAATAAATATGTGATGAAACATATGAAAATAACATCATATAATGTTTTTGTATCGTTCGATAGAGAGACGACAGAAACAATGAAAAAACCATTTATAGAATTGTTTTTTAATGTTTTACAGTCGGCATATTTTGATCAGCTATTTTTGTAATTTTACATATTGTCTTCTGTTACATTCCACCATCTGATAGAGAGATAGAATCTCTCCGAGTTTTTGTTGTTTTATTTGAATTTAGTGAATTTTTAAATCTTCATATAGACTGATAATAACGAATTATTCAAAGCATACAGTGATGACTAGTGTAAGAAAAAGAAAATGTCTCAAGTTAGTTCATTTTTATTCGAAATTCATTGAACAGATTCATTAAGAGAAAATATGTATTCAAAAATTTCATTTAGTTCTTCTAACTTGCAAGAGGGGATCATGTTTCGAAATGTCTTCTTTTGTAAACGCATCTGAGTGTAACTGTATATGATTATTAAAAAAATGAAACATAGATTCAACTCTTTTGTTCATTAAAAAAGAAAAAACCCGCTGGTTATATATGTTATTTTTTTATTTCAATTTCTCTTTAACCTTTACCAATTGGGATATTTTTTACTTTTCTTTACTTTACCATATATTTCCTCTAGTAGTACGCAAAACGTATCATTCAATTTTTAAAGGTTAACTGTCGACTGATCTATAGATATGTGTGTGTGTGTGTACATGAGTGTTCGTCTACATGAATAAAAATTATCAATTTTCTTTTTTTTCTCTTTTTCTTTTTTCATAGATATAATACTTCTCTACCTTTCGATAAAAAATATCTTTTTTAAAACTTATTAGATGGAATCAACCATTTTGTGAAAAAAAAAGAAAGATTATTATATCATCTTTGTGAAATGGATATTAGATTTATGTCTTGTTTTTATTACTGTTCGGTTTTCCGTCTCTCACAATTATTTTAGTTTTTCATAATCAAAAAAAGTAAAAATATCCTTTAATGAAAATATTTGAAAATATTCATTTTTTTTCTTAATGAAAACATTTTAATAAATATGAATTGAGTAGAAAAGAAGATATTGTTCAAGTTAATACTATTCAAATAGTAAAAAAACAAGAAGTTTGTGCACTGACAGTGAATTTATATTCAATAAGAAGACTGAATTTTCAAACAATATAGATCACTTTATAAAATGTATTTATCTGATATGTTTACATGTTCTCAGAGATGTTGAACGATTACTTTTGACATTTTAGCACGAAATCATTTTATGATGTCGTTCTAAGTCGTACATATATACTTGCACATATCACAGTATTGTAATTTGTTAATTAGAATTTCTTTCATATTTAATAATGTCATTTATGTTGAGGTTATCTAGAAATTATTTTTTGTACAAATTAAAAATGAATTGTATTTATTCATCTATGTTTTAGATCAACTCTTTGTTATTGGTTTTTTTTTTGCAAACGAATGACTGACGAACGTCGTATAAATTTATTACAATTACTATCTATAAATGATTTACAACAATTACTTACATTTGTCAATTCATCTCGTTCTGGAAAACGTCATGAACTTGTTGAACGTTGTATACAAATATTAAAATCAACATCGATAATTAATACACAATTTCGAGATAAAATAGATGAATTATATAATAAACGTTTTGAACAAGGTGATATGGTAACTATTCCTTATCCAAGAGATACAACAAATCAAAATCAAATTCGACAACATCATCAAATTGGTAAATACATTTGAAAACAAAACAAAAAAAAAAAATGATGTTTTTCTTTTTATCTTACATTTTTGTTTTTCTCGATTTCATTTCTTTAGGTACACATACAAATTCTGGTCAACTTGATCATGATATTAAATTTGCTAAATTTACTTTCAATGAAGATCTTTGTCAAATTTCACCGTGTATGCAAATATTACCTACAAATCAATTACAACAAGCATCTCATCTTAATAAACAGACACATGTTTCATTCTGTTTTATTTTAAATGTTCAACAAGCATCAGATGTATCAACTTCAACCTATTTTAATACTGAATCACAACGTCTAGAATATCGAAAACAAATTCTTCTAAGATTTACAACATTAGAAAAAGGACAGACAAGTGAACAACAAGATAAATTACCACCAAATTTATATATACTTGTTAATGGAAGAGTAGCCACATTACCACAACCAAAACCTACATCTAAACCAAATGCCGATGTTGTCAGACCAGGTAGATTATTCATATTTAAATCAATATAAAAATTTTATATTTGATAGCTAATTTAATTTTTGTAATAATTTGATTTTCTTTTAATTTTTTTTGTTTTGTTTGTTTAGGTCGTCCTATTGATATAACTGAATATTGTCGTTTATGTCCACTAATATCAAATCTTATAGAAATATCCTGGTTTAGTCAAGACACAACACAAACTTATGGCATGTTTATTGCTGCCGTTTTTCTCACACAACGTATGACTGTCAATAATTTAATATCCCGTCTAAATAAACTGAATTTTTATATTTAACAATAATATTAACAATCTAGACCATTAAATGGTCATGCAATAGTGACATGCCATAGATATCTCACTATTATTTCATACACACAAAAAAAAAAGACGCAAAAAAAATCTCGTCTGTACATTTGTAATTTTAGTATGATGATCCTGAAGTAGCATCAACATCACTTCGTCTATCATTGGAATGTCCGACAACGCGTGTAAGAATGAAAATGCCTGGTCGAGCATCATCATGTAAACACGTTCATTGTTTTGATATTGGTAAGAAAAATAATTTTTATTTAAATTAAAATAAAATGGCTAAATATTATTATTATTACTATTATTATTTAGATGCTTATTTAAAAATGAATGAAAAACGTCCAACATGGTTATGTCCCGTTTGTAATAAGTCGGCATTGTATCAAGATTTGTTTGTTGATCAATTTTACGTCGATATTATTAAACAATGTTCATCAGACGTTAAATGGATTGATTATGATGTCAATGGTCAATGGAAACCGATCTGTGAAGAAAAGAAAACAAGAAGTGGTGGAACAAGTAAACCAGTGGTAGAAACATCTAAACATACAAATGGAACGACAATAAACAATAATGGAAATAAAATGGTTGAATTATGTGAATGTGATTCCGATTCACAATCCGACAATGACAATGATACTAATGGCAGAATAAGTACATATCTGAACATTTTCTATCTTATTCATTGTGTGTGCTAAATTCTGTTAGTTTCTAGCCTTTAATTTTGAGAGTTCGTCATAGGTATGCGAATGATATTTTTTTTTCTTATCCAACGTAATATTTAAAGAGAGCTTAATGCTATATTCTGT